AGTACTTTAAAGTGTATAAATAAGTTACCCGGGCAATTGATTTACATTAGCCAATCAAACGAATGTCTGACCATGAGTATAGACTACCATTAGTTTACATTCAGATAATGGTAGTGAATTTGTAGGTGATGTAATAAAAAAAACTGTAAAACTTTGGCCATAAGTTAAATTTATACATGGGAGGCCATGGTATCCTCAATGCCAAGGTTCTGTTGAGAAAGTGAATGATATTCTTCAGACAAAGCTAAGATCTTGGATGGAAGAAACCAAACAAACAGATTGGAGTATTGGATTATCATTTATAATTTGTAAGTTTTGCTTTATCATAAAAAAAAAAATTATTAAAATAAAATTTTAATATTATAGAGGCAATAAATAATCAAATATGTAATGCAACAAAATCAACACTATACGAACTCGTATTTGGCCAACAACCACAAGCGGATTTACAAATAATTTCAATGCTTCATCAGCAAAATATTTTTTATAAAGAAGATATTCTGTTAGAAAATCAATCTTCATTAATTAATAATTATGGTAAGAATATATTTAATTAATACCGAGGGATATTGATATCCGGGGTACTATATCTCAAAAACTTGATAAGAAAACAGGGTCAGGTATACTAAGTAAAAATGTTCAAAACCCCCCAAAACCTTGTGTAACCTAAATTTGGACCATTTTATTCACCCTATTTTGGTGTAAAACTGCACCCTAAACCTAAATTTTAGTAAAAACTATTATATCTCAAAAACCTGACTAAGAAACAGGGTTAGGTGTACTAAGTAAAAATGTCCAGAACCCCCAAAAACCTTGTGTAATTTAAAATTTGGACTATTAAATCTGACCCCTATTTTGGTATTAAACTGCACTCTAACCCTAAATTTTAGCAAAAAACTATTTTTTATTAAAAATTAGGGGGTGGATATCAATATCCCCCAGTGTCATATACATAAATACTTATAGTAAAAGGTTTAATAAATTAGTTATAAATTAATAAATTTTTTGTTTGATTAACTAATATACTTTTTTTTAATTTATTTATAGAGGATGACAATAATAATAATAAAATAATTTTAATTGAAGATAGCGATAACAATAATAACAATAATCCTAATGATAACAAAATGAATATATTACGAGATCATAGTATAATTGAAGAATCTACTAATTGTGATATTGAACTGCTATTCTTGGAATAAAAAAGAAAAATGACGTACATCAAATTTTAATTTAAATAATAATAATGACAATAACAATTATAACTATAATAATAATAATGATAATGTAAATATTAATTATAATTTAATAATTATTACATCATTATTAATAATAAAACATTTAATTTTTATTTATTACATATATAGGATTCATTATATCGTTACAATTCTATAGACTTAGAAAATACATGTAGTAACTCTGATATCTTATTAGATGAAACAATTCAAGACTATAAATGGCATGACAATTTATCTCAAGCTGATATAATTTCTGAAGGTTTAACTCAAGAAAGTACTAATTCATTATTTGAAGAATCTTCACAAGCAAGTTGTTCATATACTTTAATTGAAGATTCGAATCATGAAAGTCTTATGTCAATTGATAATCAATCTCATTCAAGCTATTCAAGCTTTGATAACCATAAGCAATTACAGGATAAAGCACTACAACAAGTTAAAAAAAATAGGCAACTTATTCGTAGTGTTATGGAAAAGCGGCATAAAACTAAACGGTTTTTAACTTTAAATCTGGGTAATTTTATAATCATTATTCTTATTATTATTGTAAGCATTATAAAACTAAATATAATATAACTTTAAATCCAGGTGATCTAGTAAAAATTCGAATTCCAGACATTGACAAGCTCAAATTGGATAAGCATTCATTGCCTTGTAAAATCATTCAAAAAAAACCCAATAGTGATGCCTACCAGGTTGGATGTAGTTTAAAATCCTGGATACATGGTATTCAGCAAATGAATTAGAGTCATTGGGCACTAATGAATACCCAGCACTTGATTTATTCTACTTGGCACATTTGTTTCTTTAAGGAATGCTGCAGCTCAACAAAACTTAACACATTCAATACAAAAAACAAAAGAGAATAGTGATAATTTATTTATTCAAGGCCAAACAATCACACAAACAAAACAAAGCTCCTCTCAAAAAAATAATTGTCATTGCAGCAAAACAAATTGTACAACTAAAAGTTGTTCATGTCGCAAAAATAATGTACTTTGCACAAGACATTGTGGTTGTGTATTAAGAGGTGAATGCAAAAATCATTAAATGTATGATCGGTATAAAGCATTCGTTTATTATTAATCTGCTGAAATGGATGAACATATAATATTGAACATTATTGTTTTTATGAAACCAGAGTTAGTGTACGTAAGGCATTTATTTATAAACACAATCTTAATTCTAATGGAATAAGCTGATAAACTATATATGGTTCTTATGCATTTATATTAAAGGCCTTAATTGAAGGTGGTTATTAACATATGAATGTAGTAAGCGCAATATTGCAATAAAAAAATACATAATTTTTTCAATCTACAATTGATTAATTTTTATTAACTACAATATATAATTTATTTCTCAACTATTTAATACATTATTTTTTTTTAAATTAATTTTTTTTTTTTTTTTACAAAAAAAATTTTATAAATTATGTATCGGTATTACTATACCGATTATTATTTGAAATACGTTAAATTGCAATTGTAAATTAACATCTGTTATTTTGAAACTAACAGGAATTGCGAAATGACACATAACATATATATATGAGTGCATGAGAGTAAAAAAATGGGTAAGTCATGGCAAAAAAATGTCGAGATGACGCGATCAACGATCACTTCCGACCTCTTTGTCGTAGTCCGATAACTCATTTGGTACACAAACTATTTACTTTATTAATCAAGCGCCCACTTCGATTATGTTCGGAAATGATGTCATCTCGACATTTTTTTTAATGATTTATTATGATTGGTTACAGGTTTTCACTATATATGGGTCTTTGCCTTGAAAATCATATGTCATATATTTGATTTTCAAGGCAAAGACCCCATATATATATATTTTTAAGTGAAGCTGATTGGGAATTTGACAGTCATGTGTATGCCAAAGTCCAAAAACCTGGAGACATATACGAAGTGAAAATTAAGACAAATGCAGCAAATGTATGGAACCCCATTATCGCACAAATATATATTGACGGATACACAGATAACTCACAACACGTCATGTTATCCAGTGAGTCGAAAACGCAGAATACATTTAGTAGTGCAACGGGTGATACGAAATATTATTTCAAATTTAGAAATTTCACATTATCAGAATTTGATCAATTGGAAAAACAAAAATCGAAAGGACTAGGTTATCCTGGAGCAGTATCAGCGGCATTTTATCTTGCCAGATTTGTGGATAATGATATGCCAACAATTCCTGATTTCATGTTAACGTCACAAGACGATACTATTGATTCCAAGAAACTTAGTAGTATACCAGCATCTTTTGATAAATCAGAAGAAAAATTATTACCACCATTAAATTATGAAAAGTTTAAAAATGAACCTATAGCAGTTCTTCATTTGAATTATCGACCAGCACCTTGGTTTTCAGACGAACTCGAAAAAAACACGAAAATCGACACATTTAACATTAAATGAAGACGATTATAGCAAGGAATCTAATTACGATCATTTAAATTTGATTCATCAAGAGTATCGAATAATGATTTATCTTTAACTTTTTATTTTCACATTTATTTGCCAAAGAGAAATTGTTGAAGGGATTCTACATCTACAAGATTGGTTAGATCAAGATATTATTCCGAAGATTAAAGAATTAATATGAAGTTTGAAGAATACTTGTTCAAGTTAGAAAATTACCAAGAATATCCTACTATTTCATCGTTTTCATCTTCGGCGGAAATATCTGTTGAAAAGGTTGAAAAGGTTGAAAATGAATGAAATTGCTATAACAAATCATTAGTGCACAATTATTCAAATTATTCAAGTATATTTCAGGAAATTTATCGATACTTATACCATGCGAACTTGATATTCGTTAAGACAAAATTAAAGATCCTGTCACATTATAGTATTATACATACTGTACTGGTATATACTTGCACATGTGAGGTTTGATTATTGATTTGTTTAAAAAGTGAAATAATTTAATAACTTTAATTAAATCGTTTCTACGTAATAAAAATTAGCAGAATGTGAGATCTCAGTCGTCTATGCGATCCTTACGCCAAATACATTATGCCAAGAAATCAACAAAAATTTTTAGGTATATATAACCTTAGTTTGAAAATCTTATTTCTATTGTAAAAGATTAGTGTAACAGTACTTTCAATGGAAACAACCGACCAATAAAGACAACCTTCAACCATGCAATTATAACGATAGATAATCATTAATTGATTATTATAGAGGTAATAAAATACCTTTTTTCTTTAAAAGTGCGACATATGCAAAAATCTGCATTTAAAGAGCAACTGCGTTTAAAATATACATCCGGTAATTTTTTTGTGCTTGTGATCAAAAGATAGAAAACTTTAAACCTGCATTAGAGGAAGATAACTTTAGTAATAAATACTGTATGTACTGTATGTAGGTTATTCTAATAAATTAAAATAATTAAAATAATTAAAATAATAGATTTCAAAAAAAAAAAAAAGCTCATTACCATTACTTGAGATTTTTAAAAACGTAAATAAAATTTGTTCAATATTGCTTTTTACAAACAAGTTTTTGGTTGTAAATTTTATTTTAACCACTTAAACTAAAACAATGCAAAAAAAAATATGTGGTCTATTGCTATTGTAATCATGAGACTCAACAAATTCGCCGATCGGACCATAAATTTTGGCATACTTTCCGTTACGTGTATTTAAATCTAAAGATCTGCGAGACTGAAGCCTAGAACTTCCGCGCCGTTAATTCATTTTTAATGGTTAATTATCTTTTAAAGAAAGCCTGTCAATAAAAAAAAATAGTTTGCGAAGTAATTGTTCATTAGTTATATATAGCATTTTCACTGTATGCGAGTTACCAAAAATTACATGTATATTATATCAATAATTCGGCTATAAACGATAGATCATTCGTCACTTTGGTCATCATACCAAGTGTGTATATATATCGATATATACGGAGTAAGACATGATGCTTCTATAGTGCAATATCTTTTCTTGTTTCGGCATTTATTTGCCTTGACCTTCAATATAGTTCTTAAAAAAACTGTGAAGTTATTTCGTTGTTACACTGTACTCTGTATTTATAATTACAACAATAAACCCACTCGAATATACTACTTTTGTACTATTTTGTACTTTTCTTTTTGAAATTTCCACACATAATCTATACTAACAAGCCGAAGACCCTTTCGAAGGTCATTTCGTAAGACTACAAACATTGTAGAATCCATGCACTTTGAGCATCACAGTGAGAGCTCAGTTGTTGCATTTATTTAAACTATAGCCGTTTAGTTCGTTTTACCTCGTTATTTCTCAAAGAAGTTCTTTAGTGAAAAAAACACTAGCCCTTTTTATTTATAAAGATTTAGTCGTTTCCTTCTTTGAGCATACTGTTTTGTACTATAGCTTTTATAAACCGACGGAACTTATTTAAATTTACTTTTGGTAAATTATTTAAACCGAAAGTAAGTATCTCGAATGCCTGTACCATTCTATACTTTTAAAGTACAAAATGCTATACGCTTAACTTTTGTTTCATGTTAAACTAAAAAAATCGAAATATTAATTTTTTTTTCCTATTATTATCAATATCTTAAAAGAAATTAACGGATATTAACGGACATTGAAATAATATTAAATATATATATATATCTATATATATAACATTAAAAAAATATTAAAGTTTTTAAAAACAAAAAAAAAAATCGTCTGTAATACAACAACAAAAAGAACAATGGGCAACAGTTCTTCCAAGAAACGCTTCTCCCTGAACTCTCTGAACATACAAAGCCAATCTAAAATCATTGAGGGTTCTATAAATGACAAGGAAAGCGCGAAAGACAAGAAAGAAAATGGGCATTCTTATAATACTGGTTCTGTTAATTCACTATCAAAGAGTCTCTTAGCTGTTGATACTAATAAAAATAACTCCCAAAGTAATACGTCACCTAATTCAGAGGAAAATTCTCCGATCTCACCATCTTCACCTTCAACACCAATGGAGAGAATTCTCATGCGAACAAATGATGATGATGAATTTACTGTAAACGGTCTTAATACTCCTGTCACTCCTACCAATGGGAGTATTCCAAATTCTTTTACCAAGGATCGTCCAAAATCTTTCGACATTGATGATATGATACGACGCTTAATCAACGCTGGTTCTTCTAATAAAGTTTCTAAAACAGTATGTCTCAAAAATAACGAAATAAATGCAATCTGTCAATCTGTTCGAGAGATATTTTTATCACAACCGACCCTTATTGAGCTTTCACCCCCTGTTAAAATTGTCGGTGATGTTCATGGTCAATATTCCGATCTTTTACGTTTATTTGAAATGTGCGGTTATCCTCCTATGGCTAATTATTTATTTTTGGGTGACTACGTGGATCGTGGAAAACAAAGCTTAGAAACTATTCTTTTATTACTTTGTTACAAAATTAAATTTCCTGAAAATTTTTTTTTGTTACGGGGGAATCATGAATGTGCTAATGTAACTAGAGGTAAATACTTTTATATAAATCTATTTTATTAATATTTATCGCCATTTACAAACAATTTTACAAATAATAATAATAATAGGAACAAATCTGTAAGTAGTTTATATATTTTAGTTTTTTTTTTAAATAGAAAACAAATTTAATTATCATTGTTTTGAAAAATAGCTTTTAAGTTTACTAGGTGTTATGGGTGGGATTTGGAGTTTCATGGTAGCAATTTACATATTTTTATTTGGTAAGTTGACACTTTAAAATCAAATCACAACTAAACAATTAACTTACTAACCTATTATTATTGTTTTACTTTTTAAAAAAATAGGACTTGGCGTAATTTCACCATGGGGTTTTGTACAAAAATCAAGGCAATTCAAAGACAAATATAAAGAAAAATTCTTATCATTGGCAGTAGATTTACAATCTGACAAGCTTGATATAGAAGAAAAATCTAGCACCAATGAATATGAAATTTCCTTAATTAAAAAACAACTTAATAATTTAGTAAAGAGAATTCAATTCTATGATAACATTATCGATACCTCAATATTAAGGCCGTTCAAAGCTGAATAATTGTTTAACGTTATTCCCCTTTCTCAATTAGCTATTTCCTTCAAATTAAAAGCTAATCACATCGTAGAATAATTTTAAATAACAATATTCTGTGAACATATATGTGTTTGTTTAAATTTTTCCCTCCTGCTTGAGTCTGAGCTCAAAATGTTGGCATTAAATAGCCAATCAAACTTTGAATAACCTAAGTTTTTAATTAGAGAAATGCATAATTTGTGCTATAGCACTAATGTTCATGTAATTTACATCAATCAAATGTGAAGCATGAACTATCCTAGTTTATAGCAAAATTAAAGCTCATAATTATTTTCTTCTTTTTATTTACTTATGTAAAGTATTACGGCATATTGTATTTGAGATAATTAAAAATTACTATTGCTATTGTAATGAATTAAATTTTTCCTTTTTTTATTTTTATTAGTATAGTTTTATTCTTTATTATTATATTGTTATTTATGTATATAGTTCTTCTCCGTTCTATTTTCATAGCAGTAACCGACTTTCTTTGAAAATATTTTAATCATGTATACTAAAATGGTAGTTGATTGTGGCTTGGTGGCTTATTCTATGCAAGCGCGTATACGCT